AGTGGGTCTCCAACCTGTAATGATCTAATCTTTCTAATCCTGAGAGCCAAACCTTGAGACGTCTGCAAGAGCTTGAGACCAAGATAAGACTGGGTCTCACAGCAACAGGGGGCGTGTCAAGTTTTGGCTACTTGGTCTCAGGAGCAGGCATCCAATGGAAACCCACCGGTGGATTCTCCATCTCCTGTACTGGAGAACTACAATATTTATAGAGTTTCTTCCAAGCACAGTTTGTTTCTATGACCTTTTTTGCATCAGTCATTAAGTGAAACAATTGTTCACTAGGGGCTGGTTTTGCCAAAAACTGAAGTAAATGCCAAGTTATCAACAAAAATATTGTAAAATGTGGTCATGTATAGAAATTAAAATAATAAATAAATAATAAATAAAATAAATGGGACACTGCAAACAGCCATAAATGTGGGTTGGTTGACAAATGCTCCAAATGTGGTCATGTGACTGTGGGGGGGGGGGAAGTTTGGTCATCATAACCTTGTAATCAAGTCATAAGTACCCCATGAGGTCCATCATAACTTTGAACAGTTGTTAATTGAGGGCTACCTGTACAGTAAAACAGACATTGCCATAATAAAAAATAGCTATAGGATTACCTCATTCCAATCATTCCTGTTCAAGATCTTATATTGAATTTTATATTTTAGTAATTGTTGAGCTTCATTAAATCTGTTTTCCCATGACAGCCTTAAGATTCTAGGAAATTCTCCTGAATTGACGGAAAGCTTATGTGGAGACAGTGGTTTCACTAGGAACAAAGAGAGAAAAAATGTTTCATTGTTGAATATACAGATTCCAATAATTTCAACCCCAACGTTCTGCATTTAGAACTATATACTTGTTGACATTTAAGATTTGGACCATGCACGAAAGTGCTCATAGTCCCTATTGGCAATTCATTTAACCAAATGCTTTTTTAATATATAGATTAAATCAGGGGTAGGCAACCTTGGCTCTTTTATGACTCGTGGACTTCAACTCCCAGAATTCCTGAGCCAGCATGGCTCAGCTTGGAAACCTCTCCCTTTCCCCTCAGTGTGGCTGGCTCAGGAATTCTGGGAGTTGAAGTCCACGAGTCATAAAAGAGCCAAGGTTGCCTACCCCTGGATTAAATGAAGCTGTCTGAGCCCAGGAAAAACATTCACGTACTCTAAGGAGCTGTTGACAAATTTTATGTACAAGAGGCCCAGATGCTCTGAGTCATATTCTTCTTCAAATCCAGACTATTTGTGGGAGGAGAAAGAGATTTCAAATGTAAAGTGAAACAATTAATGAGAGTCTTCTAACATTAGTTAATGGAAAGGAGCATAATTACCATAAGTTATGGGATCAAATTCAATGTGGTCAGATTCAGCTACTCCAAGTTCATTTTTGGCTTCTACCCACATTTCCAAGGTGACAAAAAAGACGACATCAGAAATGGTACAATAATTATTACTGTCTTGAGGTATACAATCAGGATATACTTTAGTTGGCCTACATAAGGAAACACGTTTGATACATTAAATGTATTAATATCTTGACATCATAATAATGTATCTACAAGGACACACTCACATAATCTGAGGCATAATTAATCACAACCAAATATCACATAATTAAATGAAATTTACTCTAAGAAGTCAGCTTAAAACTGAATTAAGTTCTCCTTTACTCAAATTGGAACATTTCTTGGAACAAACTGTTAGAATTGCTTACAGTTCACAGGATAACTGATCACACAATTTCTGGCTGCATAAAACATTTCAGGTTTGCCATATGAAACCATTAATTTGAAAAGGTTAGAAGTTCCTTTAAAGTTAATTGAATACATACAAGAAATTAGTAGCTCGTTTTAAAATATACTTACCACCTATACTTTAAAAAATAATTAGTGCGCAATAATGTATCTCTTCCACGTTCCCAGGAACATCTTTGAATAAAGGTTGTTACTTGTGTCTGAATCACAATGCAGCTCAAGTTTGTAGGCTTCTCGGGAGGAACTGCAAAAAAAAAACATAGCAAAAAGTAGTCCAAAATTTGGGACAACAAAAGGATACATGCAAATAAATTTTCCATCCCTTTACCTTCATTTACCCTTATCAAGCTTCTGAGGAGTGCTTAAAGTCACTTCTATAAACAGAATCGGCTGGAATGTTACGGATAATCTGCAATTCCCAATTCCCATTCCTTTCTCCTATATCAAAGATCATAGCTAGGATCTTGATTCAATCGAAAAAAGGAAATACAAAAAGGGAGCCTGGAAAGAACCTTGCTTGAGGGAATCTTTCCAGACTTCCTTCTTTATATTTTCTTGCTTAAGCATCTTTTCATTAATATTAAGCCGAGCACATCTAATACCATAACTGAATTACAATGACAGCAAATATATGGAAATTGTCCATGTGTTTAGAATATGAAATTGCATACCCAAACTCTGAACTAGTGATTTTTCATTCACAATTATAAAGAAAAAATAACTACATGCCCATCTAACCAAACACTTTTGTACTTTACTAATATTTCAATCTTTTTCAGAAACTTACTTGAAAATTCCACTTTTTTTAAAAAAAAAATTAAACATTCTTTCTCAGAAAATACACTCAAATTGTGTAAATGGACAAACATTATATTTTCATTTTTACACGGTACTCAAATATGGGGAAATTATTTAGCCTTTCTCATTACATTTGCCAAAATATTTGTTATACTGATTTGTCTTCTTTTGTATTCAAGTACAGCTAAAATTTAAGAACATGCAATGGGAAGATATTAAAAAGATAA